CCTGCTCTGTAAAAACTCTGTTAACAACTTCATTACAGCAATAACAATTAGATTAATTATTACATTACCTGTCAAAGCAGCTGACGTACGATAAAACTAAATTCAACTTAACATTTGAATAAAGAAGAAGTTATTCTGACTTTATTCAGATAAATTTATGTTAGATAAAATAATTTTTGTTTTTATTTAAGTTTACAAATCATCAAAGTGTAAATATTTGTTAAATAAGCTATTGCTAACAACGGTCTGATAATTGATTAACTGTAAATTGTTTTTTATCGTACGCCAGATGTTTGACAGATAGATTTAGTAAATTTAACTTAACATTTGTTTAAAGAAAATTTATTTAAATTATTCTGACTTTAAATACTCAGAAAAATACTTCTCACCTCTTTAATTTAACTGAATGTAATCTGTAAACTTCACTGTAAAACCAGATACGTTCATTTAACTCAAAACATTGTTGAACTGATTACATTAAAATCTTTAAGGGACAAAATAAATGTAGTTAAAAGTTTAAAAAGATTCTTGATTAAGCTTTTACAGAAACATTAATAACTTTACTGGGTATTTTATTTTCCCAATAAAAATAAAAAATGAACTTAACATAAATTACTAAAGCTACTTGATCAAGAATGTTTTGCATACATAACACAACATATTTTACTTTAAAATGTTGATTTAATCAGTTTTAATAATGTTTTGAGTTAAATGAACTCGTGAGGTTTTACAGTGCAGACATCAGAAACAGTAAATTGGGGCTGTGATGTGTTCACTGACATGAGTTACTGCAGGGGAACAGGATGCGTTCTGTCGCCATATCACCAGACTGATGAAGCCTGTGATAATCAGGTTGAGTGAACCGTAAATGGATGGAGGCTCCTGTCTGAGCGCTCGCTAATTACATGTTCCAGCATGTTAATCGAATAACTCACTATCGCTCTGCCAGCAGGAGCCGGAGGGGGGGTTTATATTCGCCCTCACCTGGGTCATCTGTTAACAGCCTGCTCACTCCCTCAAAGCTCCATCACTGTTATTGAATATGTTTCAATTAAGAGGCAATCTGCCAAAAGAAGGTTTTAAAGGTCCAGTGTGTCACATTAATATAATATTCATAGGTACAATCAGTACATCAGTGTTAAATCAGCTGAATATAACAATCTTTGTGTTTTTGTTCCCTCAGATCTTGATGTGGTTATTTTAGCATCATTTTGATCTGAATATATATATATCTATCTGAGTGTCTTCCATCTGCCTCGTGGCGAACCGAATCCATCCTGAATGTTTGCTTCATGTATTCTCCTGTGTGTGTTTGTATGTTGATTACAGACTGTTTACTTCTGTTTACTGTCTGACCTGAGAGCTCCAACACTGCCCCCAGAGGCTAACCAAAGTAACTACACTAACAATGACAAAAATCTTTTGACCGTCCAGAGAAATGTGTTGTTAAGAGTGATGATGTAATCATTAAATATGTTTGTAAATAATTTTCATGGCTTAAAAATGATGACCAACTATTTGACCCCAAAACTGCAGATAATGCACCCTGTCTTTGTATTATCATAAACACACAGACATCTCATCCTCAATGTCAATGTCTGACAAAAACATTCAAAAAAACTCAATTTCTCTGTATTTTTATAATAAAATCCAATCATTGTGTTCCTGTAAAACTAAATGTGACGCGTGCTTACGTCAGCATGAACTAACTAATTTCAACCAAAAATATCATCATATTCACCCTTCAATCAATCTTCAAATTTTAGTGTCACATATCACAAAATAATATCACAAAACACAAAATTAAGTTAATTTAAGGAATGCAGTAGTAATGAAAGTAGTGCAAACTATTGCATAAACCTCATTAGTAGATTGAAAATGATTTTTTATGCTTCTCATGAAAATGAATTATATTTGTAAATCTATGTTATGATTCATGATTAAATAAACTTAATTCACAACAAAAAATACAGGTTTACAGGAAAACAATTGTGGATTTACTTTTACTGCATTATGAGTTTTAATGAACACATACCTACATTAAGTGAATACATTTAAATATATACATTTGAATTTATTTCGTAAGGATTAACACACAGTTCACTCAACTGCTAACTGCCTTAAATCGGCAGTTTCTCTATGGGAGTTTTGCATTGCACACCAACACAAAGCTATCACCGTTCAGAAGGAACTTGTCTTTCCTTTTTTGTATTAGGGACGTTTAAAGTCTTTACTGACATTAGGAACCACAACATCATCTGTTCCACATTTTAAAGAAGATCTGTGTTTGTTTGCTGCTCTGTGAAGGAGTCCACCACACAGTTCCCGGACTGTAACTGTCCTGGATCCAACTTCCAGTCAAACACCCTGGTTGGGAGTGGAGGTGAGGTTGGGAGTGAGGTTAGGGGTGAGGTTGTGGTTAGCAAGACGAAAAATGACTGGTTGGGGATGTGGCTGAGAGTTCAGTTTAAGGTTTAAACACAAATACTCTCCTCCCAAAAAACAACAACAGCATCAGCACTTTCAGTAAATTTGTATGGAAGCCTGGTTGTACCAATGTGACGGGAAAAAATATTCTGTAAGTAATTATAATGAGAAACTTAATAATAATAATAATAATAAATTTTATTTAATATTTTGACTTACAAACTTACACAAAGTTTCACAAAGTCACTATTTTGAGAATATATATATATATATATATATTTGTCTCTTTCATCTTTTAACAATCTTCAAAATGTGGTTGTCTGTCCAACATAGATTAGCCTAGTTTAGCATATCTAAGTACAGGAAAGGAGGAAGTTGACTGAGGTTCCCGAAAGGGACTTAGGAAGGGAAGTGGTCGTGGTTACAGTAACAGCCACTGTGGCTCTATAATATTGTTTACATGTGTGTACCTGTGGAGGTCAGATACAAAAGATAAAAAGGTTTGGAGGAGCTGCTGGAGGAATAAATTGATAGAAAAACAAAATCTGACACAACAGCTGAAGAAAATCCTACACACAATCTGCCACAATGAACAGCAGGAAACATGAGACTGCCATAATACACTCACTGCAACATGTTGCCTGTATGTTTGCTTCCAGAAACGATTGATCTGGGATTTGTTTTGTCATGTTTGCCAGCAGGAGACTGAGATTATCTGACCAAAGAGAGGTTACTCCTCATAAGACCCAACAGGATCAGATGTGTCTGTGCTAATCAATGCTGAGGCATCGATAATTCATCAGCACTGTGTTGTTTGGGCTCAGCAGCTGAGGAGGATCCTCTTAAGATCATTTGAATTGATTACAGCTCTGTCAACAGCCTGACAAACAGGATTAATGTGAGTGGCGATGGATTTCAAGCTGTCAGGAGATAATCAGAGGCCCCCCAAACACCCCAAATACTACTTTATACTATAGTTCTCATTCAGTAACACACAGACAGGTTTACTTACCGGATGTTCACAGAGTTCACTCTCTGTAGATTATAAGATTGAACCTGTGGGGGAGGAAGTGTTCAAACTTCAGGAAAAGTATAATCAGTAAAATGTACTTTAAGTATTAAAGAGTCCACACTGTGCTCATTTTCAGGTTCATACTTGTATTTGGGGGGTTTACTATAATAGATTTACATACTTTAATATTAAAAAAATCCACAAATAAAGCCATCTCCGCTTCCTCCCACTGTACAGAAATGAACCACACTATCCAGATACGGCCGCTGCTGTCTTTCTCCATTTGCAGCCACAGTCAGTAGTGATCGGGGTCTGTGCCACAGTATTGAGGTCCTGCCCATACGCTGGGCTGACTCAATGGCTCAATATATTCAAAGAACTAATTAAAACGAAAGGGATGATAAAAATGACCACTAGAACAAACAGGGTAATGAGAACGACCTAAGATGACAAAAACCACCATCTCATGAGCTATACTGCAGTCAGCCATCAGGGGGAGATAGAGAGAGTCTTTATGCAATAGGAGAGGGTCTGTACTGCAATCAGCCATCCAGCCATAAAGCAAGTCAAACTTTGTGTGACTGAGTTTATAAGTGTAGAATCATAGTAGAAACAGTTCATGGTTAGCTTACATGTTACTGACAGACCAAACTTAGAATAGAATAGAAATGGCTCTTTAGGGATTTGAACAAGGGACCTCTTGCACCCAAAGCAAGAATCATACCCCTAGACCAGGGGTGCCCAACCTTTTTTGACCCAAGATCTACTTTTCAAGTAGCCAACCTCCTGAGATCTACCAGTACAGTGTCAACATCGCAAACCCACACACATGCAGTTACTGCAGTTTCCAGCCTGCAGTAACTAACCTCACAACACTTTTTCTTGTTGTCACACAACTACTAGACATCACATCACAAACCCTCCCTCTCTCAAACACACACAAATTCCTCTCACACAGTTGCCAGTTTGCATAGTGTGCTGTAGCACAAACCCGCTCTCTCTGCTCCTCTCTCTCACACACACACACACACACACACGTAGCCGGTCTGGCCTGACGCTCCTTTAATTTGACTCTGCGTTGTGTTCGGCTTTTGTGTAGGAAAGGATGACGGCATTTTTTTTATATTTCATTAATTATCAATTAATAAATGTAAAATGTAAACATGAACAAACATAAAAAACTACATGTATAAAAATAACATTTCTATCACAAAAAACAAGGGGAGTCTCACATACCTGTGTACAACACATTAAATCAGTGCAGCAACTTGGTTCCCACACACACACCTTCAAAGGAGAAACTACCTGTGTGCTCTTCATTAAGCTAGCCTGAGAAAGGTAGCTAACATTTCACACAAAAAGTGCTGTACGTAATAAAACTGTATGTACACAAAATCACCATAACAAAGAACAAGACTAATTACAATTATAAAGTACAGTTAGAACATCTATTTAGCGTTTTTAAATTTTTAAATCACTTTGAACACAGAGCGCTCAGGTTTTGTACTTACCTCTGCTCAGCATAGCGCACCGCTACTGAAAGGAGAACTTAGCGCAACAA